GGGGGGTGTGGCTGTTCTGTGAATGGAGGGGGCGGGGTGTGGGTTGTCCTCAGCGGTCAGGTCAGGAGGTCCTGTTGTCAACGCCATGGGCACTCTCAACTTGGCCCTGGGTAAACATCTCTGCTGGTGGATTCATTTCTTTGGCTCCCCAGTGTTCCCTCCCGGTTGCCTCTGAGATACCAGTCTCCTTGGGAAGTCTAACTCCTGAAGTTCCCCATACCTCAGTGATACTGGAGCAGCATGTGTGGGGGTTGGGGTGGGGATGCGTCCGTGAGAGGCCAAGAGTGGACAGGCCAGCTGGGACAGACTGGTCCTGAGCAGTTGTGAAAGCAGGTGGTCTGAACTTCAGGCATGGTACCGGGAGCAAGGGACTGATTTCACTGCCCAGTGGCCCCCATCTGGAATTTTTTAGTTCCCAGGCTCTGAAAGGCACACTGGGCACCTGTGGAGCTGCCAGGGGGCCTCATGATGGGGGAGGCCTATATCTCCCCAGGCCCCGCATCAGGGATCGCTCCCCCTACCCCCATGCCCACCCGTGGCACACCCACAGGCACATCCACCATCTGCTGTAAGGAGCCCCGCCTGCGCCTTGGGGAATCCAGCCACTCCCCCCACTTGGAAGCTACAGGGGCGCCTCAGAGAAAAAGCCTATTTGAGTTCCTCTAGCACTTCTAAATTTCGAAATCACTCTCTCAGGCCTCAATTTCTTTTTCTTTCTTTCTTTTTGATTTTTTGGCGCCTGGCTGGCATGGGGATCTGAACCTTTGATCTTGGTGTTATAACACCACACTTTAACCAACTGAGCTGACCAGCCAATCTGGCCTCAGTTTTTTTATCTGTCAAATGTGAATTCTGAGGCACTATCTTACTTGGGCTGAGGTTATTACTTCCGGTCACTGTCATCACACCCTATTTGAGTCAGAGGAGCTCAGTCCCAGGGTGTGCAGTGGAAAGGGAGCTGTGTCCTGGGGCCTCCGTTCCCATCTGGTTCTGCCACTTAGGGCTGTGGGTCTTAGGGGAAGCCACTCTGTGTTTCAATTTTATTTTCTTTTCCCATCCATAAAATGGGATAATTATACCTGCACAGCTTAGACTGCGCATGGTTATTGGAAGGTTCCCACGAGATAATATATGGGGAAGGGCTTTGCAAAAAGCAAAGTTATGTTAGAGGTAAGGGGTATTATTATTAAACGGTGGCTGGAAACTGGAATTTAGCCTTGCTCTCTCACACCGGTTGCTTCTGTGGGTGTTATAAGCAGCTCCTTATGGGATAACTTTGGCTTGACTGTATGGACTCAATTCGGAGGAGGAGGGGACAGTAGGGGTATAATTTATTCCCACCCCCCCATCCTAGTGATACAACCCAGGCCATATATAGGGTGGGCTTTGGCAAAACTCTCAGCGAAGGCAGCTCTCTGATTCCGCCCCTTTGACGGCTGCCTCCCCACCACGAAATCCAAGCTCAGAGAAGCTCTGCCACTGGGGCTCTCGCGTTTACCCCCTTCTCTCTCTTACTCAAGGAAAGGCTTGGTACCGCCAATGCCCCCGGACCCTGTGTCCTAGTCTAGGGGGGGCACTTTGTGGGCCTGGCCAGGCTAGTCATGCCTTGGGATGAGGGGGATGAGAAGGGTGCTCTAACTGCCGAATTGGGGCCTCCGGGAATCCTGAAAAGGGAGCGGCTGGGGTGGGGGCCCGGGGGGCTTGGGGTGACCCGCCCCGCGGGGCGTTCTGGCCCCGGAACCGGCTCCCGCCTGGTTCCCTCTCCTGTCCTGGAGGGCGCAGCGCTCGCAGCCCTGCTTTTTGCATCAGCCACCTTGATGGCGAGTTAGACCTCCCAGCCTCACGGGGCTGCTGCGCGGCTGCCACGACGTCGGCGACTGCGGCTCTGCGGAGGAGGCCAAGGGCTGGGGAGGCGGCGCCACGTGAGTCCCGGCCGGGGCCGGGGCGGCGGCGGGAGGTTACCGTATTTACCGAGGCCAGTGCCGGACCCTTGGGGGCGGGTCACCGCGGGCGCGCTACCGTATTTGCCGGGAGCTGCGCAGTCCTTTCCGGGAGTGGGAGCTCTGCGACTTCATTACATATTTGTCAGGGTTGCGTGGTTCCGCGGGGCGCTGCGGGCACGGGGGGTGGGTTGCATGAATGCCCTCCGGGAGCCGGGCTTGAAGCCGGGCGGGGTGGGTTGCGGCAGGAGGGTGGAGGCCTACGTATTTTCGTGGGGGTGGGGTTGCGACGCAGAGTTTACCATATTTCTCCAGGGTCGCTCCCGACCCAGGAGGTGGCAAGATTGTGCGCGAGATTCGGGTGGGGTGGGATCAGCTCTTTCGATTAATGCAGCTTTTTGATAAGAACAACGTTGCGAGAGGCTTGCTGTCTTTATGGGGGCGGGGGAGAAGGGTCTCGGGAGTCGCTGCGGGAGAGTTACCGTATTTGCGTTGGGCAGCGCAGACTCTAAAGGAAAGAGTCGCCGATGGAGCGCAGAGAAGCAGGGGCGCAGCCTGGGTTGTGAGTGTGGCATGGGATGGAGGAACTTGGGGGAGAGATGGGGGCCTTGGACCCTCTGTCAGGGGTATAGTTGGGGAGATTGGGGAGGCTGCCCAGTGACAGGGCCAGGTGGAGATTGGCCAAGGAGGCTCTGATGGTCTATCTTTTCAAATGTCAGGGTAACTGCCTGGGAAGAGAATTGTGGGTGGGGTCTGTCGCAAATGGTACTTCTCCCTTTCCCCAGGGTGAGTGTCTGTTCCACCCTGGCCTGAGGGTAGGGGAGACAGAGGGGATGTCTCTGAGACCCCACTCTGTAGATAGATTGACTGAGGCTGGAAGTGGCAGAAGGCCTGCAGGGAGGTCCAGTAACAGCAAGCAAGCTTCCGTGATGGGGTGGGGGAAATGCATGGAGCAGGCCTCATTGCCCTGCAGGAGCTGGAGCCTAAAATTTTGGGGGGAGATGGGGGTGGTGGCAGTAGACAGTGCTCCTACAGGAGAAGTGGCCTTTGAGAATAGATGGCTCTGCAATGGCCGGGATGGTGGTGGTGGTCGCATATAGGGGTGTGTGTGTGTGTGTGTGTGTGTTTTAAGGGGTGTTTGGTTGTTAAGTAGTCGGTACATTGAAAACAGCCTTCATCAGTGAGTCAGGAGACTTAGGCCTAGCCCTGGCTCACCTTGCTGTGTGTGTGACCTTGGGCAAGTATGTTGACCTCACTGAGCCTCAGTTTCTCTATAAAGTAGAGCTCAACAAACCTGCTCTGCCTCTTCCTCAGGACTGTTGTGAGAACAATGGAAAACAATGTAAGAGGAACACAGTGGCCTGGGACAGGGTCCTTAGGAGAACCAGCGTGAAAGGAGCCGGGTACTGGGGGCGATTGCTGAGCAGTGAGTGTGTTGCTCAGCCTTGGGCCAGGTTCTCTGTGGGGCTACCAGGGGGAATCAGGCTAAGACTGGCTCTCTAGGAGTTGGGGCTCATGTATGCCTCTTTTTGATAAACAAAGAGCTGCTGCCTTTAATGTTTAACCGAGGTCACTTTCAAGTTTACAGGGCTTTGGTAACGTTGTTTTAAGCTTTGCAAAATTAGACCGCAGGTGATCCCACCCTTCCCACCAGGTTTGGGGTGCACCTCCATCCCCCCTCCTTGAGATTCTGGTCGGAGAGATAAGACTTATTCAGGTGAAGGATAACGTAAAGTACTAGCAGCCTCTGAATAGTCCCCATCCGCATTTACTCTGTGCCTTCTGTGGGAGGCACAGCGCTTGATGCTGGGGTTAAAAGACAGCTCTGTCCTTAAGGTGCTGGGGTCAGGGGGAGAGAGGTGGCATGACTGACCCTCATGCAGTTGATGAGGGTCACAGGGTTGGGCCACATGGTTCAAGGAGGGTATGGAGGAGGCCCTTGAGAAGGGCCTGGAAGGAGGGCAGGCAGCGATTCAGGGGTAGAGGAGAGAGAAGGGCAGCAGTTCCCAGCAGGGGCACTTTGGCTTGAACAAAACGGTGGAGGGTAGAATGCTGGAGGCTGTGGGAGGTGAGTGTCCCCACCCAGGACGGAGGTTGGCTGACCTTCCCCCCTGACCCCTCTCTCCGCTTCTGCCTCCCCAGGGGCTGGTGACCGCAGCTGGAAGTGCCCATGACCGGGGTGGGAGCCCGGGAGAGAGGGAGGGCTGGCCTGGGGTCTGGAAGGTGTGGGTCGCAGCCAGGCTGCGGCCGCCCATGTCCGCTCCTCCCCCAGGACCCTCTGCCTGGCTGCACACTGCTGTTTGGGGCCCGTGCGTTGGTTTTCCTCCTCAGGTAACTTCGTATAGCATACATTATACGAAGTTATACGATTAAACTATTAACCCATTAATCTATGAATGGATGAATCCATGACAGCATAGTCCTCATGATCCAATCATCTCTTAAAGGCCTTGCCTTTCAAATACCTTATTGAGGATTAAGTTCCAACATGAGCTTTGGCAGGGACACACATTGAAACCACAGCATCAAGCCACATAAGATTCAAGTTGCCAGCAAGGCAGTCAGCCTCCTTGGGAGGGCTTGGCAGCCCACCACCCAGCTGCAGGAGTTGCTGGGCTCAGCTGCCGTGGGGAGCAGCCTGATGCGGAGTGGCCTGCAGAAGTGAGAGAATGCACTGACCCAAAGAGACAGCTCAGCAGGGACTTAGCAGAGAGAACTGGCAGGCAAGGGAGATGCTTCTGAAACCTTTTATTATCTTCTTAAAGTGGTTTGAGTTTTGTAAAGAAATATCTTTGACTTTTTGGCAGGAGAAGTGGGGGGGGGGGCGTCCGTGGTTCTGTTTTTTTTTTTTTTTGTTTTTTGTTTTTTATAAAGATGACTGGTAAGGGGATCTTGACCCTTGACTTGGTGTTGTCAGCACCACACTCTCCCGAGTGAGCCACGGGCCGGCCCCGTCCTTGGTTCTTGATATCAGGTGTGGTGGGGCTGGGGCTGGTTGGTCATGCTAGAGTTGGAGACGTTTTTATGACTGGCTGCTTACCCAATCTTCATTTCCAGAATGTCAGAGTTGAAAGCCACTCGGAGAGAGCCACTTTCCACACTCCCCAGGCCCGACCTCAGCCCAAAAGTCCTCCTGGCTCCTGCACTCACCATCCGGTGTCCTTGAGAAGTCATTTCACCTCATGTCTCAGTTTACTCATCCGTAAGTTGGGGATAAAGATAATGGATTCTTCCCCCGCTCTGGGATATTGTGAGGATCGTAATTGCTTTCCAAGATGAAAGAGAGTGACATCACTGGTCCAAAAGCTTTGTTGAGTACCCGCTGTGTGCCACTTTACTGTGCCGAGCTCTGCTCTTGGGAGGAGGCACAGATGGGGACCACAGGCCCCGTCCCTTGGGGTGCTTGCCCTTGATGCATGTGGGCTGTAGTGGGGGGTAGCCTATAAAGTGCTGTGGGACCAGAGGGAGAAGGTGACTGGCTTCTTCATGTCACCCAGGGGAGTCTGATGGCTTTGAACTGGGTCCTAGGGATGAATAGAAGTGATCTAGGAAGAGCAAGCACGTGGAAGGATGTTTTCAAGGTGGGGGTTCATAGTGAAGTCTTGTATTTGCCCTACAAAGGACTTTATGATCGAGGGGGAGGGACATCTGAGATTTTTAGTGAGAAGAGCACAGTGATCTCAGAACTGTGCTTTAGAAGGAAAACTGGAGGCACCGTGAGGACAGATCAAAGAGGGAAAGCAGGAGCATTGAGGGTCCTTGGGGTCATCTGGGCAAGAGAAAATGGGACCCCCAACTAAGAGACTTGACCAAGGTCATTGCAGTGAGAAAGGGGAGAGCTGGGACTTGTCCCCAGGGTGCTGATTCCAAGTTGGCACTCTGAGACACAGGGTTCTGCAGTCATTTGGCAGCTGAGGAAACTGAGGTTTGCCCAAGCTCTCCCCAGATCACAGTCAGTGATTAGTGGTATGACCAGTGGAAGCCTGGTATCTTTTGGATTCTGGACCCCAAGACCTTTTAGCTCTACTGCTAAAAAATGGAAAATGGACATGGATTTGGGGATCTGACCAGGGGCCATGTGATAGGAGCCTGAGCAGGGGTGTCACATGTGGTGTGGGTGCCTGAAGGGTCCATGTGGTTCAGTAGTGGTTCAGGAGGAAGGAGGCTGGGGCTTTGAGAGGACCTGCACTCCCAGAGCCCCTGCCTGCGCCTAGGCCTGTGCGAGGTGCTGGAGGCCCATCCCTCCCTTAGCCCCCCGTTCTTCCTCAGTGCTGCGTGGCTCCTCAGGGGTCCATTGCCCTCTGCATGCCACCTCTGGATGGCTGTTGCAATATGGATTGGCACTTGGTGGCAGAGGATAAGAGGCTAAACAGAGACCTGGGACATCTGGAGCCAGTCACCAAAATGTCCTGAACCCAAGGCAACTCATCTGTAAATGAGATTCATAATCTTTGCAGTGCTTGGAAGGGGGCTAAGAGGACTTGCTCAAGCCCTGGACAGATCCAAGGTGGGCCTGCTGATTGTCCGCTCCTCCCCAGAGGGGTGGCTGGGCAGGGCCAAGTCCTGGCACCAGAACTGACCCTGATCTCTTTGTTTCTGTGAACAGATGCGGAGTGGGCAGGACCTCATGTCCCAGGAGATGCAGGGCACATCTGGGCACAGAGACTAGGAATGGTGTCCCACGAGGGCCTGGCTGGCACTATACCCCGGCATGAGGACATGTCCCCTAAGAAGACCTACCTTGGGAGGTGCCCTGTAGAAGTGACTGTATGCAGCCTGGAGCTGGAAGCAGATTCCAAGCCCTGGTGGAAAAACTGCCCAGTCCTGGTGGAAGTCACAGCTGGGGCAGACCTTATCGTTGCTGCTTGGCCATGGACCTCAATTCTCTTGTGGCAGCAGGGACAGAGCCTGTGTAGAAAGCTGGCTTCTCTGCTCCTGCCTGGTCTACCACTTGGCTAAAGTTCAGAGACAGGAAGTGACTGGCCTAAGATAACACAGCAAGTTGGTGGCAGACCTGGCTCTAGAGGCAAAACTTCCCTCCGACGTGAACAATACCTGCAGGCTTCATTTTTCTTTCTGAGCAGTGGTTCTTTGGGGTCATGCAGTGCTTTGAAAATCTGACAAAAGTTATGGACCTTTTCCCCAGGAAGACACACATATTCACATAGACTCAAAAACCCCAAGCAATTTCAGGAGCCCCTTGCACGCCCTGAATGAAACCCATCCCTGGACTGCAGACTAAGAACCTCAGCCCTGGGGGCTTAACCTGCCACTCCTTCCCCACCTGACCCTCACAGAGCCCCCAGTCAAGGCCACCATACAAGTAATTTTTCTCCTCCTACCTGGCTGAGCCTCTTTCCCTTGTTTGGGAATAAAGAATTCAGAGGAGGGGACCCTTTTAATCAGTCCCTTCTCCCAGGCTTAACAAAGAACTCATAGGTTTCTGGAACCTTATTTACCTTCCCCAGACTTCGCTGGAGATTCCCTGGGTTGATCTGCTGTTCTGGTTTTGTGTTTCTTGTTCTGCCTAACTGGCTGCTGGTTTTCATAAGGGAGCCCTTCACTCCCGGCCTGGGCTCTGATTTCACTGAGGTCCAGGGGGAAGGTGGACTTCTGGGGACTGTGGTGGAAGCATGAATTTGGCTTGAGCCTACTCCAGGGAGTAGGAATCCTGCTTCCACCAGCCCAGCCCAGATAGCCGTGCCTCCTGCCCGACCAGCCAGGCATCGTGTGGGAAGGCTGGGGAGGAAGAGGATGAGAGCTTTGCTCTGGGTGCCCACAGCTCTGGACAGGGTGAGAGGCTGGTGGAGGAGCTCTCTGTGTGTTCCCGGAGGGTCCAGCAGTACAAGTGGGGCGGGGGGGGTGCAGGGCAGCAGGGCAAGGACTCTGCCTGTCTCCACACCTGAGTGGGTCAGCCTGGAGCCCCGTGGTGCTCACCTGCCTCCGCAGCATGAACCACACATCAGAGAGGCAGCATTGACCAGGGCTGGCTGGGTTTTGGTCAGGGTTGTCAGGAGGCAACCTATGGATTCATGCCCTGGGGTCTTGTTTGTCCTGTCTCCCATGCTTGGCCCATAGGTTCTCACTAAGCACTTTCCACATGCCTCACCCGGGGTAGCAGAGCGCTCTGGGGGAGATCGGAAAAGAGAGGCCTCCGTACCTCCCTAGGAGCTTCCACTCTGGCTCTGGCCCTTGGCCAACCTAGAGGAAACCTCGCCAACACTCCCCTTCTCCACTGACTGTCCAGCTGGTGTCCCCCCGCCTGTGCTGTGCCCTTCCTACCTCTGTGCCTTTTCCTGCATTGCTCTGAAATGTCCCTGTCCTTTCCTCCACCCCGCTAAGCCCTTCTTATCACCAGGGCCTTCTGAGCCACCCAGCCCACGTCCTTCCCGCCTTCTCTGCATGGTAGATGTGTTAACACGATCTCCCCGCCCCCTTGGGTATCGCGTGCTGTCTTGTCTTATGCTCCAGTGTCCTTGTGTGTCTGTGTGTGTGTCTTGAATCCTCAACTAGACTGTGAGCTCCCTGAGGGCAAGGGACTGTGTCTTTATTCTTTAACCCCAATAGGGTCTAGCACAGGGCTGGGCTCATAACTCAGGAAACACTTGTCGACTGACTGATGAATCTGCTGGGAGCCATGGGGTGGCCGCTATGGGATTGTGCAGGGGGAGAGGGTGTGTGAGTTACCTAGTGGCTGCGTTTTGGTGGGCTGGCTCTCCTGGGTCATAATGGGGCTCAGAGGCCTCAGGTCCTCCCCTGGTTGGGGCAGTGGAAGCAGAAGAGACCCCCTATAGCTAGGCAGGAGTGCATGGAAATGGTCGTCCAGGCCAGATATTGCTGTGGGTCACTGACACCTGCTGGAGCTGACTGCGTGGAATAAATGTTCTCTCGACATCTGGTGTGAGATGGTCATTGGGGCTTACCTGGGAGCAGGGCGGTGGCCTCTATCTCTGCCTCCGTCATTTCTTGAGGAGTTATGTTCAAGGCAACAGAGTGCCCAAATACTATAGAAAAAAAATGAAAAGCCACTGCAGTGGGTTAGTGTGGGCTTCCCTGCATCTGGATGGTGACTGCTGTTTGGATTTGGGTAACAGGTATTGGGGCCCCTCGGATCATACCGTAGCCCCAAGTGTGTGCTCAGCCCACCTTGAGGCTGAGGTGATTCCCATCTGCACCGAGAAGTGGCCGCTTGGCACGCTGGAGTCAGGAGACCAGGCTCCAGTGCTGGGCCGTCTCCAGTGGGAGGCCTGGGGCCCGTCCACTGTCTCTCCTGACTTTAGTCTTCTTATCTGTGACGTGGGGAAAGGGCACAGCCCCTGCCCCTCTGCCTTGCAGAGTTGTGAGAATCAAGTGTACGTGTAGACGATGCATGTGCAGGCACAGCATACAGGCTCTGTGGTCATCACCGTCCTCCTGAAGGAAGGTGGAGCCTGCCAGCAGCCAGACCCCGCCTGGGAGAGATTTGGGAAAGTAATTTCCCTCCTGTTGGTGGGGAGGGCTGGGCCCTACCTTGGCCGAGGCTCGCTGCAGCACTTGGCGCTGCGTCTTGCCCTCTGACTCTGATAGGTGGCTGCATCTGCTGCCCTGTCCCGGCGGTGACTCAAGGACAGCGCCTGTGAAGGCTGGCTCTGGTGGCGGCGGGGCGTGGTGGTGGTGGGGAGGGTGCGGCGGGGCTCTGTGTCCAACTCACATGGACTAAAGTCAAAAAGGGAAATCATAGGCTCATGTAACTGGCAAGTGCAGTGACTCAATGGCGACAACAAGGCCCAGCCCCCTCTGCCCCTGCCCCTCAGCTCACAGGGCAGGAGGAAGCTGGCAGCTCCTTGGCCTCTGCCTGCCCAGGTTCTGTTCCTTTTTCTGACGCTTCTGGAACAGGTGCAGGCCTGACTCTTGCTGGCCTGAATTGGGCCAGTATCCGTTACTAGACGAGTCGCAGTGGCCAGGAGAGCACAGCTTTCTGAACGGCTGGTTACACGCCCACTGCTGAGTGGCTCAGCCCTGCCTGGAGTCCATGGTCTGAGAGTGCGGAAGGGACTGTTCACCAGCAGAAGACCAGAGACAAGAAGACGGGTGGGTGGATTCCAGGTGCGGCCCAACACATGCCTGTGCTCAGAGCTTCCCCGTGGGACGATCAGACTGAGGCTGGTCCCCAGCTGAGACCACATGGTGGCTTCTTTCCCCTGCCCTCTGCTGCTTCGGGCCACTCTCCTCTAGAGCCCTTCCCCGACCATTCTTATTGCCCCCCCCAAGCAGAGTCCTTGTCTCAGGCTCTGCTTCTGGAATCCCTGTCCTAAGGCGATTGTATTTGAAGAATACAAGCTCAAAGCATCTTGCACACAGAAGATGTCGTGACTAGCATGTTTCCTTGGCGGTTCTGCGGGATGCTGGGTACTTGTGGGCCTTCCGTGAAGCACTGTGATGGGTTAATGGGTTGCAGGTGACCGTCTCCTTCATGACATGCCAAGTCAGAGGACCTAAATGCTGGCATGTCAGCCCCTCACCAGCCACGCTGAAGCCCGCCGTGAAGCACTGTGATGGGTTAATGGGTTGCAGGTGACCGTCTCCTTCATGACATGCCAAGCCAGAGGACCTAAATGCTGGCATGTCAGCCCCTCACCAGCCACGCTGAAGCCCGTCCAACAGGAAACAAGGGACAAAGGTCTAGTTCACAGGTCAAGGGTTGGGTCCAGTCTGCCTGTGCAGCTTTGGCCGAGGACCTCAGCATATTGAGGCTCAGTTTCCAATGAACTGACTGCAAGGTTTCTCTCAGGTGCTTTCCAACCGCCTTGGGAAGCTCTTTTCGGTGATGAGGAACAGAGACCCATTCAGGCTAGAGAGGGCTGTGTCGCGAGGCCTCGAGAGATGTGAGGAAGCCTGCACATCGGGCTGTGTCACCAGCCTCAGGGCACAGGCAGCAGAGGCCCGGGATGACGCGCGTCCTCTGGTCTTGCTCCTGGGTCTGTGGCGGCCACCATCTCTGTCTGGAGCAATGCTTTGTGAACTGAAACTGGATTTTTTCCCTTTAAGCAGGAGAACAGCAATTGCTAACAATTTCCAGCAGCAGACACAGAAAGTCACTTTGAAGCAGACCTTCTTTGTTTCTGGAAGTTTATCAGACCTTTCCAGTTAAATCGATGCAAAATAAATACTCACCGCTCTTCTTGGACGAGCCTTGGACCTGAGAGGCATTTCAAATGCAGATGCTTTTGTGGTGCGTTAGCTATTCTGTTTCATAATAATCATTGCAAGAGGCAGTTGTAAGGCAGAACAAGTGGCGACAGGACATCTGGGATGTGGGAAGGACCTGGAAGTCCCTCATGGGTGAGGGACGGAGCCGATCCTCCCATTAGCCTGTGGAAATCTGCCAGGGGATGGCAGCATCCCCCCAAATTGGGTTTAAAGTGTATGGGTTCAGGAGGACCTTTGTTTATAGGAGCAGCAGGACTGTGTCCATGTGTAGGGCAAGAGAGGCTCCCAGAGAGGGTGACACAGTGGTGCATGCAGTTTCCTGAGAGGTGGGAGAGGCTCTGGCCTATGGACAGAGGTGACAAGGAGCCTCGGTGCGTGCGAGCACTCCCAGAAATGCCTGGGGCGTGGGGGTGCTCCTGGAGGAGGATGGACTACAGTTCCAGGGATCGGGGAGGGCTCAGTCTTCATTTGATCATAAAAAGCAGGACACACTGGCCATTTCTTTTTCTGCCCCACCTTGAGCTGTCTCATGGCTGTTGCTTGTTCTCCTGTCTGCCTCTGCTCCTGACTTCATTGGGGTTCAGGCCACGCTACCCGAAAATACGGCACCTTGGCATTCGAGAAAACAGCAGAAGCAGGAAGGTCACCGTCACCTTCCCCTCGCCCTTCTGCCCTGACACAGGCCATAAAAGACTTCTCTGAACTTCCTCCAAGGTAGGGGGAAGACCCTCATTCCAGAGGGGTCCTGCCTATACCCCGAGGAAAAGAAAGTCACACAGGGAGGCCAAGAAGATTGTGAACACAGAAGCCTTGCTAAGTCCACCCATTTTATTCCCATTAGATTATACCCTGCGTCCTCTAAGCACGCTTCTGTATGACTGTCCGTGAAAATACGGTTTTCCCTGTTGCTCCAGGTCTTCATTTCTAAAGGCCCCTCTGTCACATACACTTACATTCAATACATTGGCATGCTTTTCTCCTGTTGGTCTGTCTTGTCACAGGTGTCTGTCCATGAACCTTGTGATGGCAAGGAGAGGATGTCACTTTTCTCCCCTCCAGCTTCCTGTCTGCTCCACGGTCTGCGTCCCCTCTCATCGTCTTGTGTGCAGACTCCTGAGGCAGAAATTGATGTGCCTGGTCACTGTCCCATTAGGGCACCTCTTGGCACTGTCTGTGTTGCTAGTCAAGTTGGCTTCCTGGGGCTCAGGCACACGCCCTGGTCCCATAGCTATGGCCAGGGCAACACAGACCCAAAGCATCAATCCTGGGAACTTTGTCTCGAGGGAATGATGAGCTTATTCTTAGAGGGGGGCATGACTGACAGGCCTTTGGGGCTCCCTAGTCCCTATCTAGCCACAGCTCTGTGGTTTCTCTCTCCTCAGAGCCCCCTCCCACATGCCTGTGTCCTCTTTTCTACCTTTTTCTCAAGATTTAATTTCTCATGTCTTTTTGGCTCAATCTCTGGTCAATGACAACTCGCCTCTGTGCATCATTTTCCGGTTCACTTTCACGTGCATAAATTCCTCAAGAGCATGGATGTAGTCTTGCAGGTCTGGGACCCTGACTGTCCGACACTGGGAGGCTCCCAGTGAACAGATTGGTGGCCTGTTTGTAAGTGTTGGTTTTGACTGGATTCATGCTCTGGGCATAGTGCTGGACTTGGGACAACAAAAATACTGCTTTTGGAGCATCGTTCAGTTTCTTATCGCCTCCCCCTGGTGGGTATATATTTATAGTCACTTCTCCCTAATGCCTGGACGGTATTATAAAATGAGATGTTTTTTGGCCATCGTTGGAGCATATTTGGGAAATTTTGCAGTATGAGAAAATCAAGAAACAGAGCCAGTGAATATAATGGTCCCATTTAGGCAGTAAAGTAACTTCAAACACCAAAAATCACTGATCACATTCTGTGAACACAAGGCAATGAAATTAGAAAAAATTAACAAAAAGATAGCAGATAAAAACTTCTATGTATCCAGGGATTTAGAAACACACTTATTAATAATTCAGATCACACTTATCAATAATTTTGCAATGGAAATTAGAAAATATTACAAATGAATGACTATGAAAACACTACATTTCAAAACTTGTACGCTACAACTAAAATAGTAATTAGAGGAAAATTTTAGTTTTAAATGTATTCATTAGAAAAGAAGAAATTTTGAAAAAGGGTTCAATTTAAGAAGTTAGAAAAAGAACAGAATATACCCAAAGAAGGCGAAAAGTAATAATAAAGATAAAAATAAATGGAATAAGAGACAAAATAATATCAAAGGGATTCAATAAAATGTTGCTTTGCCTCACACGGATTTGTCACCTTTCTTCCCCTGGGTCATGGAGCTGCAAAAGGGTTACTCAAAGCCCATTTCTTCTGAGCAGTGAGAGACCCTGAAGGGGTTAATTTCCTGGAACCCTCAAGAGAGAGGCATTCCTTCCTTGGGAAATTAACCACGAACTGGGGTTCTCACCCCACATTTATTCTCCAGACCATGAAGTTACAAGCAAAGAACATAGGTGAGGTTTTAGCTAAGTATAGTTTAAGAAGTTTAACAATAGAGGCTGGTAACATCAGTAAAACAAGCAAAGTGACATTCCATAATGCAATTTGTAAAAGGTTAAGTTGATCCACCAACAAAAGCTTGATCTTAGCAAATACTTTTTCCCTACAGAAATTTCCCAGTATCTTTACATATCAATCA